TATCTTTATCTTTATCTTTATCTTTATCTTTATCTTTATCTTTATCTAAGTTTAAAAACTACATTAAAAATATTTTAATCGAAAAATCATATTACAAAATTGAAGACTACGTGTTAGATAAAGATGTATGGAAAGACGACATGGATCCAGAATCCACACAAATTTGATTCAAAGTGTATTCCATAGCATTTAAATTTATTTGAAAAGAGCAATCCCTAGAGTTTCTTGCTCGTTCTTCTCAGGGAGGTCAGCGTAGTGAACGAGCAGTAGCTTAAATGTGACGTTTTCAAGTGTAAATTTATTTTACCTATGGAATAAATAATCTTTGACTTTGACTTCGGGAAAAAAATAAAGAAATAAAAACAAAATTTGAAAAAAAAACTAAATTTTGTGACAAAAAAATAAAGACACAAAAACAAAGTCAAAACAGAACCAGGGCCAAAAATTAAGTTGGCGCAATGTCCATTGGAGGTATCGTAATCATTTATAGTTTTTTTCCCCTTCTAATAAAAAACATTAAATACTTATTAAATAAGTCTTTTATCCTTCCGATGTTTCATAATACATATTTGGAGTAATGATTAACATTATCGTTTAGATTACAATCTAATATCATGTTTTGATACACTTTGAAGTGGAAGGTGACACAAGATAGATATGAATCAGACCCCCCCTTATATATAACAAAACAAAAACCAAAGAGAATTGTAACCACTAAATAAAAAAACGAACATGTCACGTAATTTATGGATTATCAGAAAATAGCACGAATATTGAGAATATGAATATGTTTTATCAACAGCTCTCTACTATCAGTAGGTTAAGATATCGACAACTGAATTACTTCAACTTATGAGTATTCGAAGTCTGCAATGTATACTTACTTATAATATTCCTCAGACGCTAACGTCCGCGTGACACCAATATACCAGGGCTGAGCATCAGTTCCATTCAAGCAATGAGTCCCGTTCAAGGGAAGCAATCCATTACTTTCACAAATAGAACCAATTTTAGTACAGTTCCTAAGATAGTAAGTGAGATCATCTGCAGTATTTGTGTTGTTTTCTCTGCAAGCCTCGTCGTATTGTCCACTAAAACAATCTGTAATGAGAATTTTTGTAGCTTATTTTTTAAACATTGATAAATGCGAATACAAAGTCCGAGTGCGTTTCGGCTTTGAAGCCTAAAAGGGGGCGTTCATTGTCCTGCATTGCAGTCCGCCTTGCCGGTAGACGGTAATGCAGGATAATGAATGTAATCGCAGCGTGCAAGCTATCCTGCAATTCGTTCTGCGAGACTCAATACGTGGGCCATGCGCAGGATAGTGTGTGAGCAGTCTCCTGGTACTTGTACCTGACACGCAGATAGTGAATGGGCCGTTTAAGGGTGACGGGCGCAGTGGCACTGCCTCTCAGATCTTTGTGATTTAATGCACTGAGTGCAACTATATAACAAACAAATGTAAATGTGAAATTTTTAATTCTCCTTTTTAATAAAAAAAAGTTATCGACTTATTTCTTTCGTCATATTTTTAAGCGTCTGTCCTGTAAAGTTGGCATTTTGCTGATATGGCTTTATTTTTATTTTTATTTATTTATTTATTTCAGGCAACTAGGACCCATAGATACATACCTTACAGACTAACATACATATTACACCAAGTGTTCGAATATTTATCCTTTTAAGATCCAAAAATGGGAAAAGCGCCATACACACAATAATTACAATGAAGTAAATATAATTTACATGCTTCAGGCCCAATCAAGTTTATGTGAAAAACGCAACCGGATTTTTTAAACTCTTTCTCTAGATATTCTGTGGTCATATAGACTATACATACAGCGTTTACGTGACCACAGGAATATTTTTTTTTCAAGAAGCCAATGTTAATAAAAATATACTTACGGATAGTGTTGAATTCATTGTCACATAAACCCCAATTCAATTTGCCCGTCATTGAAATTATGAAATAGAACAATATCCACGCTACAATGACCATGTAGTAAATAAGGACTATGGTCATGACCACCAGCGTGCAGTATCCCAAGCCACTAAAAAATGGTGCTATGGAGGAAAAGGCCTTAATTGGACCAACACCAGTGTACTGTCCGATATAAAGTTCGAGGTAAAATAGAGGAAGACCGAGAAATATCAACATGATGAAAAATAATATGAGGAACGCACCTGTAAGAAAAAGTTACCGTTAGTAAAAATGATCTACAGCTCTGTAGGGCTAGCACCACAGGGCGCGACTTGCGCGAGGGCGACATAAAGCACGAGGTCTCTATGTCCCTACTGTAATTACTGATGTATACAAAAGAAATCTCGATTATAAAATGTATATTCGAAATTTCTAATAAAAACTACAAATTCGATGCTCTATATACATAAATATAATTTATAAGGGTATGGGTATAAGTAAATTATTATGAATTATTCATAAATTTATCAGCTACCATAAGTGTTAAATATTAAGGTTTACAGTTACTAGTTAACTGTACACTGCTATCAACATTTTCTGATAAAATGTATGTCAAGTACTCGTATCATAAGAGAACACCGATCATCGTATTATAAAAGAATATAGCTCGCACGTTGTGGTCAACAGGTATTCTGATAATTCTTCAGTATGTAATGTCACGTATGTTTGAAATGGTAAATAATAAGTAAATAATTTACTAACCACCGCCATTCCTGTACGCAAGGTAAGGGAATCTCCACACATTGCCCAGTCCTATGGCATAACCCATACAAGCCAGAATAAACTCCAATGGCCTGCCCCATGACGCTCTCTCCGGAGCATTTGAGCTGTTGTTACTTAAAACTGGTCCAATTGAAGGGTGACTCTGTGCGATTAATGAGTAGATACAGATATTACGACTGCTTCGGTCGAATAAATCGTTCGCATGAATCGCTTATATTAGATTCTTAGGGCCGTATTCCAGAACTCTACTCAATGTTCAAGTCAGGATTGCAATTGAAACACAAGCACTGGAAATACGACCCTAATGGCAGGGACTTCAGTATGATTTCGAGTGCTTTAAACCATACTCAAATCCTGACTTGAGCATTGAGTAGAGTTCTAGAATACGACCCTTAGCATTCAATAGCGTTACCTAAGTAACGAACGATATTTACATTTTTGTCAGATAAATGACATCTGACGAAAATGCAAATGAATAGTAACAAGTAAAAAGTAAGGTTTTATATGATTAATTGTCTAACAACACATACATGTCTCGTGGTTCGAGTGAAAAGCTCGTATATGATTTCTATGTAATTAGGACGACGATAAAAATGAGGTGTAAAATGTAGTAAACGCAATCATGTTTGTAGTTAGCATTTTAATTAGTTAAATTATACCTCTTTCAGATACTACATTACTTTAATAGTATACTACAAGTTTTTCTTCAACAAAAATCAGTACAAACGCGTATGCGAGGTTTTCACTCCAAGGCGACGGTATATAGATTCATCATATGTATTATTCTATTATTCCTACTCGTTTTTGCAAATAAAATATGAAATCGTTAGATATTTTATTAAACGCGTAGAAATAATAAAGTAATTTTAAAAAATCAGTAAAGAAAATGATACGGTAATATGACAATAACAAGGCTTTGCTTGCGTCGCTGATTCTATTTTTGACACTACAACTATGAAAAATAATGCTTATTGGTATATTGATATATGTGGATGTAAGTAGAGGGAATGAACAAGAATCTGTCTTAGGATAGCGAAAACCGTGCTTTCGTGGAAAACAGTTTTCCGAATACGAATTTTAGCATCGGAATTACATGTAATGTTGCGAAAATTGCTGCAAGTATGCGCTTCATTCTTTGTACTCTGAAAATAGGTCAGTACCCGATTCATCGACAATGTCTGACTAAACCGTCAACATTATTGAGTAATCAGTATCAAACACAATACCACGGCTTCCATATTTTTGCGCAAAGGAAAATAATTAAACGAAATTAAATTCAACGAAAAGAGAATTCCCGTGTATTATCCTACGTCGGTAATTTGTTTTATGTCCATCTTCATCATAAAGACGTGACAATTAATAACCAGTTTAAGTCGTAATAAAAATCTATATGCGAAATAACGTGTAGAGCTAATGATTGAAATCGGTATATAGCAGAGCATGCTACCGGCACCTAAAATACATGTATTATACAGGTATTTTTGGTTACGGTAATTGAATATTGGCACCAATGGAGAACAGATATATTTACCGAAAGGTACCGGTACTTAGCGGTTCTTGCAACACGTGAGGATATGTCAGAATGGGAAAAGTATTGTATTCATTGCACAGACATCTGCACTCATGAATCTTCAGTGTAAGACTAAATGCTGGGGCAAAAAAGTAATCACGTTTAATTTGAATTAAGTACGTCTGAAGCACCCGTACGTAGCTATGTTAAATGGTATTGTTTTCTGAATATAAAGGTATAATTTCTACCGGTAGCATCTTGAGTAGGTACCAGCACAGTAGCAACGTTAGTGGTATCGGTTCCTAAAAATATCGATATCCCAAGCCCTGATAAAAAGTACGTCGCCACCGTTTACATACTGTAGCATTTTACAATATCGAAATATGTACATAAATTTATTATAAAGTGTCGTACTTTCGCACCATGAAATAGTCCTTATGATACACGTTTATGATGAAGTAAGGAAATGCTATTCTAAAGTTCCAGATCTCTGAATTGAAATAAAATATTATAGTATAAGAACCCGAGAAATGTTTCGTTCTAACATTATTCAAAGAAATTTTATTTTACTCCTGTACTATTAATTTCATCAACAATATCATAAAGACGCTCTCTATTTAGTTCGGAGTTAAAATTCTATTGTTTATGGTATCCACCAATGAGCTGAAAAATTTCATTAAAGTTATGTACACAACACTATAATGAGCATTATAATACTGTACACAGAGCCCAATTAAATTTCAAAAAAAGAACGTCGTATTTTTGCTAATTAAAATATCAATTAATATCTACTCAAACGCAGTACTGCCGCCTGATTGGTAAAAATGGCCTAAAAGTCTTGCACCCGGGCCATAATTTAAATCTGGATAAAAAAGAAATGATTGATTAAAATATAAGCGGTACTTGGCCAGTTTTATTCTACGATTATCTCTTTGGTTTTTTGTTTAGCGTTTATTGACTTTCGTCTTATATAATATGAAAAGGTATGGCGGAACTTTTGCCTACCCTAATAAATGGGTTAATTATATTATATATTTTTTCGATTGCTTTTGCTGTTTTACTCGTAGAAAAATATATTACTATATAATTATATATATATATATATATATTATTTTATTATATACTGTATAATTATATGTCATTACAAAACTAGGTCTTAAAAATTCGTACCTATTACTTAGGCTATTCGGCAAAGCCTCGTGGCCTAAACGCGGTACTCGTCTTTAAGAACCCTCATTATGCAAAGATTGCATAAAATACTAATTTAAAATTTTGGCCATACTTATTTCTTTTCGTTTATATTTTTTTACAGATATTTAGTATATCTATAATTTCTTGCCACATTTGTGACAATATACGTATTGACAACGTGTTTTGTATGTTGCATCACTTTGGATCACGTCATATTAATAATTAAATATAATGATTGTTATTTGTAGGGAAAAATATTAATTTAAAACTTTCCTGTTCCTAAATAGTAATAAGGCATCGGAATTACCTTGTACCATCGACGGCGCACGTCAGTCGTAGTTAGATTAACATTCCGTAAGTGATACGCTACCTCCCATTTTTTTAATGATATTAAACGACGAGACGAAAATGTTGTGCGCCTGGTGGTAAGCGTTACACCTGTCCATAACAGTTGTAGTGCTGCTCAAAGGGCACTACCACTGCGCCCGTTACCCTGATACATAAGTAGAAGAGTCTCATGTGTCTGTAATTAATTTCACCAGCACCCTTACCCTTCAAATCCGGATGGCAGTACTGCTTGGCGGCATAGGTAAGGTGGCAGTACTATCCTGGACGAACTCTTTTACAAGGAGCGCTACTGTTATGTAATTTATTATTATAATTGAAAGGTTCCTCAAGTATAAAGAACGATTCTGCAAATTGCTGTTAGTATGAAACTTTATAGTTTAACTGTGACCACGACCACGACCCGAAATTAAGGTTCAATTTACACGAGTACGGAATCGAATTTTTGTAACAAAATTGTATATTGTGTAATAAATTTTATTTACATTGTGTAACGTAGGTACAAACTAGATATACAGGTTTATTTCAAAATACTAACAAGTTCCAAGGACTAATATTACTAACATCAAAAGCAACAACTTTTGTACTATGACTTTTTAGAAAACATAATAAATATTTACCAAAAATCAACTTCTAAGTTTCTGTTGTACTAACTGACACTTTTTAAATCTATATTTGGTAGTAAGGTAAATTTAATTTAATTAATTCGAAATTTAATTAAATTAATTTAGTATCAGTAGAACTCCGTGTGAGAGAGTTCGTCCAGGGAAGTGCGATACCTTACCTATTTCTGCCTCTCAGAAGTAATGTCAGCATTACTGTGTTCCGGTTTTGAAGGGCGAGGGTGCTGGTGAAATTACAGGCTGATGAAATTACTTGTCAACTTATGACTCAAGGTGACGGGCGCAGTGGCAGTGCCACTCAGATCTTTGCGATTTAAAGTTCTGAGTAACACTGCAATTCTTATGGATAGGCGTGTCAGCTTACCATCAGACGCATGACTTGTTCGTGCCGTTACTTGATAGTACAAAGAAAAATATACACGACCCCCACCTGTTCTGCACAGAGTTATTACCGTTTAGAGCGCTCTATTTAAACATTTATTTTTGTATGACAGAAAAATCTGATCAATTATTAAAAGTCATGGAACAAAAGTTGTTTATGACGTTAGTAATATAGTCCTGCAAGTTTGTTAGTACTTTACTAATAACCTTTACATAGAGCGCACTATAAGTTTCCGGAACTGGCCACTTACATGAATAATATTTAAAAAGTAATTACAACATTTGAATGGAAATGGAACTCTTTGGCTGTAGAACATAGTTTGTTTCATCTGACTGTCACTTGTTTTTACACTGTGGCGTCATTTTGAAAAATAGTTTATTTGTCATCACAAACTACAAAATTAGCTAATAATTATAGTTTGTGAGGAAGCTGGAATCTAAACTAGGTCGAAACCTGTGCTATGGCTTCCACCACGGAAATAATTATGACTAAAAACGTAAGCTCACTTAACAATTAACAAAATGTATATCTGGTGTGTGTGTGTGTGTGTGTGTGTGTGTGTGTGTGTGTGTGTGTGTG